AAATCAATCAAACTTTTCATTAAGATATTCAATCTTATATATAGATTATCCATAGAGATAGAGAAGGAGCGTCAAAATGGATTATAGGTAAAATTTAGAATCACAAAGTTATATGTTTAAAATATCAATTTAATCAAAAACTATAATTTGCAAACTATTGTGCACGAAACATGAATTTTTTTCTGATATATAATAAAGATTTTTCAAGGTTTAATCGAAAAATGTTTTAAACAAAATGACTCGAAATATCGAAAACATTTTTACTTTTTTTTTTAGAAATATCGCGTTTATACCTGTTTTGTTTAAAGCATTTTCGATTGATTTGAAAATACGCTTAATTACTCAACATATATATGTGCTGAATATTATAAAATATGGAATTCTCTCTTTAGTAACTATACATAGCAAATGTCTAGCTGGTACATAGGAGAGCTACTGTTACAACCCTCAACTCACTCCGGACCATATATACAGTTGCCCAGCCATCCTTACATACTATATGGCAGAGATCAATCCAGAAGAGGACATCCATACAGACAAGGCACCTCAGTTGGCTGGTATTGTGATCAGGGTGCATGGGCCGATCTGATATGTTCTGGTATAACGAAGAAAAATAGAGTGAAGCAAGGCCCAAAAAATGTCACGTTAGGTAAACAACCCAGATTTAACTCCTTGATAGAACAAAACATCACCGGACCTTCTCATTTTCCACTTTCCCATAATTCAAATGTAGATTTTATTTTCTCTCAATGATAGATGTCTAAGGAGGGTCGTAATGTCGGATGGAACACCACATGCCGAAACAACTCCAATCTACGAGTTTCCAGCCGTTTATTGACCCGCGCAACTGAACTTTACATTTGAAAGCCATTAGCGACAGTTTATTGAAATGTTGCTCAAGGTTTATGGTTCCCTACATCATCCTGGTTATCGCGGGAAAGATCAATGTATAGTCTATTCCCTTAGATGTAGTTCCTATGCTCTTTATACCAAGATAAACTCTACCCGTGGTGACCACAAACTCGCATACATTCTGATATAATTCAATATCAAAATTATAATACAATAAAAGAACAAGAGACGTTGATATTTCCGATCAGTCCTATTCAAATTATTGAAGTTATTCTAACAATCATATAAAAATTGTTAATGAGATATAAACAACTTTTGTTTTCTTGATAAAAAAGACCGCTCAGTAACGCATATTAAATATGCCTTTATTTTGGGTTTAAAAAATGAATTTTTACGATAATATTTGGAAGAATTGGCTACCACTCACCTTGCTCTCAAAATTATACAGTAAGCAATGAACAAAGTTGCTAGACAAACGGCACTGTCATGGAATTGCCATATAATAGAACAAAATGACACTGTAACGGAACTGTGTGTCACGGAACAAAGTTGCCCTTTAATAGCACTGTCATGGAAAAAGATTCCCTGTAACGGCACTGTTACGGAATAAAGTTTATCTGTAACGGCACTGTCACGGAACAAAGATCCATGTAACAACGCTCTAATGAAACATGGTTTCTCTTTAATGGCACTGCCACGAAACAAAGACGCATTGTAAAGGCAGTCACGGATCAAATTTACCCTGCAAAAGCATTGTTACAGAACAAAGATGCCCTGTAATTGCGCTGTAACTGAAATTTTTTTCCCTGTTTCGTCCCTGTAAGCTACTGTCACGGAACAAAGATGGTCAGTAACGGCACTCTTAAGGAGAAAGATTTCTCTGTACCGGCATTGTCGCGGATCAAAGTTGCCCTGTAACAGCACTGTTACAGAATAAAGACGCCCTGTAATTGCGCCGTAACTAAATCATTCTGCCTTGTTACGGCCTCTAAGGAACTCTAACGGAACAGAGAAGCTCAGTAACGGCACTGTTACGGAATAAGATTGCTCTGTACCGGCATTGTCACGGATCAAAGTGCACTGTTACAGAACAAAGATGCCCTGTAATTGACTGTAACTGAACAATTTTGCATTGTATCGTCCCTGTAAAGTACTGTCACGGAACAAATTTCTCTGTACCAGCATTGTCACGGATCAAAGTTTCCCTGTAACGGCACTGCTACGAAGCAAGATTCCCATGTCACGGGGCAAAGATGCTCAGTAACGACACTGTCACGGAATAAGTTTTCTCTATACCAGCATTGTCAAGGATCAAAGTTTCCCTGTAACAGCACTGTTACAGAACAAAGATGCCCTGTAATTGACTGTAACTGAACAATTTTGCATTGTATCGTACCTTTAAGGTACTGTCACGGTTCAAAGATGTCACGTAATGGCGCTGTCACGGGGATAACCTTGAGAAAGATGAGCTCGTCCATCTATAAAAGGTCCAGTGTTACAAACCTAGCTCCACTCGGTGTGCAGAGAGTGACGGTGTTGCAGCGAAGGCCCCCCCCAATTTGCTCCTTCTACTCCCAATAAAAAGCTCAGACCGCCAGCTAGAAAATCCCCTTGATGGGATTATAAAGTTCCACTGTTGAATCCAGTTGAATTTTAATCTTGCTTCTTTTTTACCATTTCCCTACTTCTTTTAAGCCTTTTTCCATTCTTTCAAAAGAATTGATATTATATTATTGGAGATGTTGATACACTTAGGTTTCTTTCTTTTCAAATGTGTTTGTTCTTCGGTAGAAATATTTATTCAGAATTTTAACTTTTGAAGAAAAAAAAAAAGATCAAAATTTAGATTTATTTTATTGTTTATACAATTAGGATGCTTTCTATTTTATTACTAATAATTCTTACCTCTCTACAATTAGTAAATTATTTGCGGGCTGCGGTCGATTATCCATTTGTAGATGCATTCACTATTCCATTGGTAAAATTTATTTTTGAGAGCATTAGAATTCTGACAATTACTGTGTTATAATTTTGAACATTTCTGCGAACCTCCCTGTTATAGAACTAATTGTCAATGGGAGTGCTATCGTTAATGGATGAACTACCCTCAAAAGAAACAGTCACTGATGCCCTCCCAATAAGACTCCTCATTGCAGTAAATTTTAATGAAACAATTGCCCAATATTATCAGTAGAAAATGCAAGAATTTAAGCACAAAATTTATTTTATACATAAAACAAACTCTTTTCTACTTTCCTTACTGTGATCAAAATAATATTGGTAGGGCTTGGCTCTTCAGTGGTAAACACTCATATATATGTGTATATACACATGTGAAAAGCAGTTCGAAATTTTCACTTACAAATGTGCCAGAACACCGTTTGATTAATTCCATTCGTTGCTGGGTTTGGACTTTTGTAAGAATCGGAGGCCATTGGAACATTGTTTTTTAAATTAGAAAAAAATGTCCAATGCGGGATTCAATCCCGGGTCGTAGAGGTCGAAAACCAACGGTTTAGACCATCCTTCCACCGACCCACATATATAATCTTAATATGACGGATATATTGAAAGTAGTTCAAATCTCAATTTCTCTTTAAATTTAGTTAATTTCAATTCAAAGCGCTATGTCCCCCCCTAGAGACACTTGCACTAACATACATGTATGTTTTTTACAGTTGTTTATATACATTTTACAATAATTTTAGGGGTTAAGGATGATCTAAACCGTTGGTTTTCGACCGCTAAGACCCAGGTTCGATTAGGCACCTTTTTCTGAATTTTTTCTGAATGTTCCAGTGGCCACCGATTCTTGCAAAAGTACAACCCTAGCAGCTAGTGCAAGTAAATAAACAGGGCTCTGGCACATTTTAAAGTACAAAGTCGAACTGTATTTCACAAGTGTGGACATGTGGAGCACTTACAGTAAAAGCAGTCGCCTACTTCTACCCATCATGATTATCATGGCCTGTACCACGTGTACTAGAGATAAACAAAACAAAAACAATAATTTCAGGCCGTAAAGAATATAGTCATAAGAATATTTCTCTTCAAATTTGAATGAAACCATGAAAAGGAGTAAATATAGAATTCCTTGAGGAGAACGTCATATCCATAAAAAAGATAAATAGTGGATATATAATTGCATATATAATGTTTTTTTTTTTATGTATAAAGTGTTACTCTCTCGACAAGATGTTTTCTTTCGTTAAGCAGCACTTCTCTTTCTTCGGTGGCGCAGTCTTTCCCGCGGTGGGCGCCACCAAGGAAGACCTTATATATATATATTAAAAATAAAATGGCATATCCTGACCAGGAGCACATGTGTTTTACAGATGGCAAAGCGCCATTTGGTGGAACAGAAATCAACTAAACATTGATTTAGCTTGTTCCCTGCACATGTTCTCTTGGTCAGGATATGCCTCTTTTTTAGTATCAACACCTGACCTATTTTTTCTATTGTTTATTTCATGTGTTAAGCGTATTTACGCACGTTTGGCCTTAAATACCCATTTCTTGGTTTCTCAAGAAGCCTCTGGGGCCAAAAATATTTTTGGTCGCGGTGGTACAGCCTACTCCACGCTGACGAGCGCCAAAAGGGCGAAACGCGTTCGTGGCTGGCTTTTCTTGATTTATCAAGAAATTGGGTTGGTAAAATATCAGGCTAAATCAATGTTTAGTTGATTTCTGTTCCACTAGATGGCGCTCTATCATCTAAAAAGCACATGTGCTCCTGGTCAGGATATTACTTTTTCATTTTTAATATATGAATGTATGTATTTAGCAATTATTTTATATATTTATATCTATTTATATTCATATGTTTATCATTATTTACTCATATATATATAATCTATATTTAACCTTATATAATCTTATATGAACTTTGTAATAAATCAGTTTCAATCTCTCTCTCTCTCTCAGTAACTGACCAAGCTCTGAAGCGGTGGCTGAGGCGCTATGTACAATGTCATTGTACATAATATATATATATATATATACTAGCCGAATGACCCGGGCAACGCCCGGGGTTTACCCGATTAAATGCTTTTATTCAAATACTATTCGTTACAATTATAAATTGGCGCCGTGGATGTCATTCTTGTATAATATTTAAATGAGTTTTAAAAATTGTAAAAAAAAAAGAATGCATCAGCCGGGAATCGAACCCAGGCCGCCCGCGTGGCAGGCGAGCATTCTACCACTGAACCACCGATGGTTATGAGAAATGCCCATATTTGGGTATTTATTCCATTCACAAAGGCAAACGGTGACAGAATTGATTAAGAAAGAATTGATTATGACGCTGATAACTGTATAGATTAATATATATATATATTTTTTTTATAATCAATTTTTCGTTTTTTTTTCTTCATGTTAATTTCTCTTAATTAGTGCTGACTGTACACTTTCCTGTATCGACAAGATGTCAATAAATATATGTTAGTTGGCAGAAAAAAATTGTCTCTCTCAGTAACAATTACATAGTACAAATACTCAACATACTCAATATCGGAAAGCTTTAAAATAATCGTATTGTTATACTCAAAAACCAGCATAGTTTACCATACAAACTTCCACTTTACAACCACCAAGGTTCGTAAAAGTGAATACATCCGAAGACTGACTATCCAATCGCCAACAAAAAAATGAGATAAAAGAAAAAAATAAGTAAAATACAATCCACTTAAATCGATAAAAAATCTCAGAGTTTTTTTTTATTTCAAGTACCGGAAATAATTTATTTAATAATTTCCTTTTCAGAGTTTAGTACCTTCATAAATATAGCATTGCCCTCAGGTATTTGAAAAATTGAATTTAAATCTTTTCATATCGTTTCCCATATACTTAGAGATGAAGAAAAAATATTTGAGAGAGAATCGAGGTATTTCTTCTATCTGGATACGTCTGTAGAAGCCATCATATTTTAACTCTGAGAGAAAATTGTATAGATTGCTCGAGGTATAAATAAATTGAATTGGAAATATAGGAAGATCTTTTTTCTTTGTAGATGTTGCCTGAATTTTCTTTGCCTTCTCTGGCAAAAGCCATTATTCCGTGAAAAAAACTATTGCAAATTTGACATTGTACTGGAATAAGGTTCATAAATTAAAAAAGGGTATCTCCTTATCGTGCAACTGAAAGTTGCTGATGGCTGGCGCCATCTATTTTATAAATATCAACTATTCATTGATTTTTAATTATTCCAGAATTGTGGCTAAATACCCATTCTTAATTAATCAAGAAAAGCTAACTATGTATGCGTTTCGGGTTTTGTTCCCGGTCAATTCCATAATAATTAAAAATAAATGAATAGTTGATATTTATTCCGATAGATGGCATAACCATCAGAAACTTTCATCTGCCTGATAAGGACAATTGACAATTAAAATAATTTTATTGACATCTTGTCCACATGAAAAGTGCACAGTCTGCCTGATAAGAAAATGCTCTTTTTTTCCTTTTTTCCTCTTTTTTTCATTATTACTCTAGGATAGCGGTCAGACAGGCCAATGCTTGCCGGTGATATAGATAGATTGTGATGATGTTACCACCCTTGATTACATTTTGAGAGATAATTGGGTTCATTATAAAGTCTAATTTTGAATGGCTCATCATTAAAATGATGATAAGATTCTTCAGACGCCTCTTTAATTCTCTCTTGCTGGTGATCCATCTTGTGGTCAAGTTAGATCGTCCATTTCTACATCATCTAGAACGGACGAAGATAGTCTACCCACAATCTTATTAACTTTTCTTCAATGTAGGAATGAGCCAAAGAGAACGTCACTATGCACCAATATTTCTTCTGAAAGCCATTCTCATGGTTCAATCACTCTGAAGCAATTTTAAAAATTCGAATGAGATTTTATTAAATACCAGAAGATTAATAATTTTAATAATTATATACATTACACATATCTCTCCCTACATGAAATATATTTATACCTTAGATAATAAAAAGGCATATATTGGATTTAATAAAATGTTTATTTTGCCAATATTTCGGCTAGCTGAACGACAAACCTTTATCAAGGCATTAAATTTTTGTATACACAAACTCAGCGCCGCATAGTGTTATAATATCACTGTGAATTATTCAGTTATACTCACTTTTAAATTTGGTTGAACTCAATAGCGTTAACAAATATTTATATATAAATATATTCAATGGATCACCTTTTGACCCAAAGTATTAAAAACGATTTCTTTTCTATATATATATTTATTAACTCACATTTCCGTGTTACAAACAGTGTGCCGTACCATTTCCATGTTTGAAACGATTATTTAAAAACTGGTTTCTCCCTTTTCTTTCGCTTTCAACCAAAACAAATTTTCCACTGTGTCTCTTTATAAAAATGGAACAACCTTTTGGATGGCCTATCTCATGAGCGGTGAACCTTCCCAGCTGTTTTACTACCCCCAGATCTTAATACAGGTGAATGTTTTTGTCTTTCTAATTTTTAAGTAGCTTGTTGAGTATCATTTCTTCACATATAAAAAGCCTAGATTTTGAGAGCGCAAAGGGTTTCAATCTATGCAAGCTAACTTCTGGAGCATTCAGACAAAGCTTATAAGTATAATCGTATGGTAGGTATATTTTCATAAATATTTTCACATTGTGCAGAAAGTATAAAAATAGATGATTGTGTTGCATTAGCGCGCTATCTGTTATGAAATATCGAAACTATTATAGACGCGTATGATTCTTTTTTGATATTTAAACAATATCTACTACCCTTACTGCAATGGAGAAATTAATGGGAGGGCCTATTTTTCCATTGCAGTAAGGGCAGTAGATATTGTTTAATTTTTAAAAGAATCATACGTTTCAATAATAGTTTCGATATTTCATAGGTGATTGTAATGATGAAGAGCCATTTGACTTAAAAGCTTATCGAATTGTAGAAAGACATTTCTGTTAGATACAATTCTTGTGGTTTAACTAACGATATATTTTGGTGAAGTCGTCTCAATACTCACCGCAAACCTCTACGTCGAATAATATCGAGCCGCCGTTATTAAGTATTTGAGATTTGTTTCTTCGCTCAAGTTCTCCGATAAGAAAGAAGTCCTAAAGTCAAATTTGTTATTCTACGAAATATCGTATTTTATCTCCAGCAGACATATTCAATGGAAGGACGGAAATAAAGTCGTCTTACTTGTCATTTTGTCTTGTTAGACGGAAGTGATGGAGGATTAGTGGGGAACGGCTAATTGCATCGCTAGAAAGGAAGTGGCCTCCTCGACTTTCAATTTCAAGTTTTTCTTTATTTCTTTGAATCGATACCATGCATTAGATAACTTAGAAATATAGTTGTTGCCCTCGAGGTTTACTTAGCTGATTCTGAAGCCGCTTTCATTCATTTCTGGAAAATCAACAAAAACAACAACAACAAACCTTTATTGAGGACCTCTCGTCCTATAAAGGATTCGCCAGTTTACAGAGTAATTGAAGAGAAGAGAACTAAGAATACAGAGAGAAACCTATAAGTAGTAGGTATAGTGTAGTATTTTTTCTACACTGTAACTATATACAACAGCAGCAACAAGCCTTTTACTGGAATCAAAGTCCCATACATGATTCGTCATTCTAGTCCTGACAAAGATTATTTACATATAATTATTTACATCAATTAGATTATGTATATAGCTTCCTTTTCTCTTCAGCCGTCTTCCAAAATTTGAACAACGCAAACGCTCCAGCTCTGTTTCTCACCACCTCATTCAACAGGAGCTCCAAAGAGAGTCCCTCAAGGCCTATTTCACTGAGGAGCACTTCCCGTTCGTCTTTCAGCCCCATACATGAGAGTATATGGTGATGTAGCCCCGGCTCCATTCTTGTCCCGCAAATATTGCATGCCCAACCGTCTGTTTTAAATATTCTGGGGCGATCATCAGTAACATTTCTGGAAAATCTTTATAAGAAGTGTAGTAAAGGTTCAGTAAATTCTACACTGAAACTTTGGATTTCTACACAATTGACTTTTTCCATGCGATACCAGCGTCAGTAGCAGCATCTGGTTGAATTCAATAAGACAGTCACCCGGGTATTGAGATAATTCTTGTATTGATTCAAGCCAAAGTTTTTCCAATTTTTATTAATTTTTCGAAATAATTATAAAATTTGCGTCTTCATAGAATTGAACACGGACGATATTACGCTTCATATTACCACAATTTCTAGATTTAGATTACCACTATTTCTAGATCCTAGTTCATATATAGTTCATATCAAATCATAAATCCTATGTATCGTATTGCTACATTTAAAAAGGTATGTCGTGTCTTTGCACTAATTTGTAGCTATGCAAGAACTCGCTAGTGTTAGACGACTAGATTGGTTCGAGTATAGAGAACAAGAGAGTCCATTATTCCATAGATTATCCCATAATATCTAATTCCGCCACACTGCCTTGTAGTGAAATTGGACACACTGCCCGTATTAACATTAATTGCGATAATGAGGGAAATCTTCGCTCCACAATTAAGGCGACCTAATTAGGAAGAGTATATACGATGGGTTGGTTCAGCCATCCTCGGATTTCAAGACGTCCTGGTTATGTGAGATCATCTTATAACAGTTTCACAAATCACATTAGGTGATGGAATATCTTAGATGTTAATATATAGATAAGTGCATATGTGATACTCCTTAGAAATACAAAGATTTCAATTTTATAATCAGAAAAATATAGAATTACTTTAGGTATCTCAGCATTTATTATGAAAGAAGAGATAAATGATGAAGCTAGAGTGAAACTTCGTTGAAAAAATGATAAAGCTACAGATTTTCGAAATTTGAGGCTGGAACCAATTACTGAGATACCATGGGCGGACAGATTAGGCAATGAAGATGTTCTATATTATATATTGTAAATTGATCAAGGAGGGAAATGGCGTTCTGGAGATGACAGAAATGAGAGGAATCAGTATGTCTGAATATCTTGTGCGACACTTCAAGTGGATAATGGTATTAGAATTATACAATAGATTTCTGAAGATGAGTTTCATTTTTAATGTTATATGAAGCTTTCAGGCATCTCAATCCTTCTACAGGAGTACGTTTATTGTTATTCGCTTTACATACCCCTGTAGAAAGGCAGAGATGCCCGAAGGCTTGAGATTGTATTAATAAAAGGAAACTCATCTCCAGAAACCCCTGTTGTATTATTTTAATCTATATTTAGGAGATTTAAATCTAGTAAATGGATA